CACAGAGACGAGACCACTACACTACGCATCGTCTACTCAAACGTACCCTAAAACTCATAATCTTCTTCTAACTATGAAATCATTAAAAACAATATTATTAGAGGCGACTCCCTCTTAAGTCAAAGTCGATGGGCGGAGCCATTGACGACGAGCACTCACGTGGACTCGTGACGTCATCTGGAGGGGCAACTCGTCATCTGGAGGGGCAACCGACCGACCAGCGGGGACATCACGCCACCTCGGATCACTTTTGCTAGCAGCGCGCGCAGCGTTCACTTGTCTTAGATTTAATATTCTGTGTCGATCGTTCCTACCCACTTTTGTATTTTTTTTATTTATTTAAATTATTAAGCCGTTGCTAAAATCAGAAGTGGGATAGGGCTTGTGCCCTATCCGCTTTTGGGTTATCCTGGCGTACAGTTTATTTTTAAAATTTGCATTAAATTAACAACGTAATGACCGATATACGTGTAACTGGAAGCAGGGTAGGAGGACGCTCGCATTCGCCGAATGTTCGAGACCAATATTGGAGAATAATATTGGCGCGTTTAATTGCTTAAAACTCAAATGTGAACGTTGCGCGTGAGTCGAGCCCGCTAGGGTCGCAGATAGAAGACGCACGTCCCTCGACCGCGGACGGTGGTGGCGCCGGACCCGTGGTGGCGTTGGGAATCACATCACCGCCGCCGTCAGAGTCCCGCGCGTACGACGCTACAGACAGGATCATCGGAGCATTAAGTGCACTGTCCAAAGTAAGGTCGAACCATTTTTATATTTCTAATTTTGACCCCAGCGTTAATGATATCGATTCTTGGTGCGAAGTAGATTTTTTTTGTCGGATACCCTCTTATGAAATGTAATAAATCACCAAGTAACTAGCTCAACGACTTTATCACAACCGACCTTACGGTCTATTTTTATTGACGCGATAGAACATGCTCGAGACTGAATGCTCAGTTTCGATGGGTGGAAATAACATTCGAAGGGTTCAAAATGTTACTAGTCGGCACACTCCATCAATACGTCAATTAGACAACAGTCCGACTGTCCAGGTCGGTGATCATGCAAACGGGACGCCGTGTTGTTCCATCGCCGTGTCGATTGTACCCGCGTTTGAGAATAGATGTAAAATAGTTCCACCACGCGTTGTGACAATAAAAAGGCAACTACCACATCAGCACGGAAGTTAACCGAATCCATTAGATTCGTAAATTCAGATCGAGCTCATGGTTACTTTATTTCTAAGTTTTACCCTGCCGTGCAATACATAGACACATTGTGTAAGGAAGTAGAATGGGCTAGATCCTTAACTGGGAAGGCACTGAGTATTTGTCACGAGTTTTGGGCTGTCTTAAGAGTGATGAGCGTACTTGGTTACACGTGTGATTGTCTAGTGACCGGACGTGGGGTAACTTCGTAAAAGACTTTAAGCCGTTGTGTCCGCGAAAGTTAGAGTATGCCAATATTCTTTATAATGCTATGCAATTAGCATCAGATTGCTTTGCCTCATACGTCGAGTGCGCCAGGAGATCGTTGCTCTGTATTAAGATGGTCAGAGGTCTGACTGACAAACTCGGAACTTTAATAATGATACGGGGCATAATGGGCCCTCTGGTTGACTCGCGAACGCTAGTCTACAGATTCACGATTTGATTTAATTTTTGGTGGAGGTCAGGTTAGGCCGAGTCCTCGTAGGGTTCAGGCACTAGTTGAGTCACCAGTGACGCGTAATGTCAAACATTCTTGGGGTTGACTGCATGCTTCCAGAGATTTACGTGGTAACATAGTTCACGTATATGTTATGACGTGGTAACAAAGTTCACGTAAAGGTGTGACGTGGTAACGCAGTTCACGTTACGAGTGTATTAGCTTGACATGTTAACTTGGCCATGTCAACCAGACTTTACTCTCACAGTATATTATACACCCGATATGGTAACAGTGCCGTGTCGTCAGTACATCTAACGTAACTCAACAAGAGCCTACTATACATGAACACACTGAAATGTGATGTAAAATGCTCACAAGAACTACTAACTTTTACTAATGGTTCATGGTACCAAAATCATGATTAATGCAAACAATCTATTTCTATGACGATATCATAGAACACCCCGATAGCAACGCTGTGCACACAGTGAGTCCTGCATCGTCAGAGATTGAAGACGGTCATGACATCGAGGTGAACGTGGACGTCCACCAGTCAGGAGAGGCCGTATTAGAGGCGACTCCCTCTTAAGTCAAAGTCGATGGGCGGAGCCATTGACGACGAGCACTCACGTGGACTCGTGACGTCATCTGGAGGGGCAACTCGTCATCTGGAGGGGCAACCGACCGACCAGCGGGGACATCACGCCACCTCGGATCACTTTTGCTAGCAGCGCGCGCAGCGTTCACTTGTCTAAGATTTAATATTCTGTGTCGATCGTTCCTACCCACTTTTGTATTTTTTTTATTTATTTAAATTATTAAGCCGTTGCTAAAAATATATAAATTTCTCCATTTGCACAGCATTGATTCAGCTGCGATATTTTACCCATTTAAATGAAGGATTCGAACGTAAGGCTTTTTATCAATTTCAAATTTCACTTAGTTAACACCATCCTGAATATTCCTGCCAGTAGTCAGTAGTAAGTCATTAATTCCGGTTTGAAGGATGAGACAGCAGTTTTACAGTTCAATAATGGAATCTTCTACATTTTGTCTCAAAGTGGATGGCGACACTCACGACAATATGATGTCGATCGACTGCGGTAACAACATTTCCATCAGCCATCATAAGTAGCAATAAAAATGTTACACAAATGATTAAAAAAAAACAACAATATACAATCAGAAAATTATTACATAATTAAAAAGACTTTTGAAAATAACCAAATAACAAAAGCACTCTAAATATCTAACCATGTCAAGATTTACTGAAATAAAACAATGCTGAAAAACAGGAACTACACAAGGAAAATTAAACGGGCAGGGCGAGTGTCGGTTTCAATGAAAAGGGTCGAATAGACTAGGGGAAAATTCGGGATGCCAGAGACTGATGTACGAGTAGATCGAATTGAAAAACAAAACGAGTTCAATCCGTCAAAGTTTCAAAATACAGCCCGTTGTTTTTACGGACGAGTAGAGTCACAGCGTGATATGATCATGTCATGAGGTAAAGTAGAAAATACTGAAGATAATACAGGTGCAGGCTTAACCCACTGTATTTTTCGTTAGAACTTCGCAGATGGTTCGATTTCGATTCATTGGTGGTTCAGCAAAGCACTGCTCTTGCATTTGATAGATTCAGCATAGCACTGCTCTTGCTAGGGCTAGTGTTACCAAGCGACCTCACTAGACTATCAGCTTTTAGGTAAGGAAATAAGTACTTTTTACTGGTGGTAGGACCTCTTGTGAGTCCGCGCGGGTGGGTACCACCACCCTGCCTATTTCTGCCGTGAAGCAGTAATGCGTTTCGGTTTGAAGGGCGGGGCAGCCGTTGTAACTATACTGAGATCTTAGAACTTATATCTCAAGGTGGATGGCGCATTTACGTTGTGGATGTCTATGGGCTCTAGTAACCACTTAACACCAGGTGGGCTGTGAGATCGTCCATCCATCTAAGCAAAAAAAAAAACAATACAATACAAGAACATTGAAAGTAAATGATTGTTTGTAACCGCTACGGAAATACTTTAATTCCCTCTCACGGTTTGATCAATTCGTCGAATTCGTGGCCCCGACTCTTGTACCACGCGTTCGAGTTCAATTGCCTTTCGGTGATGTATATTTGATAAACATGATTTGACAAGTCCCGGTTTTCCTTTTTCTTTTATCGTTTGTATCTGTTTCCGACATATTATATATACAACAAAAATAAATTTATCTCGGGTCCTTTGGTTGTATTATGCTTAACCTTTACCTGTGGGCTTTGAAATGTATAAACTACTTATACCATTTACATTAAAAGCTGTAGGCGGCCTGCAAAAAATGTAGTATTGGTATTGGGGGTATGTTTATGAGTTTAAAACCAATCATTGAAATCTATGTATAAGTTATTTTATTGCAGAAGGCATTGAAAGCATATGCACTATTTTTCAAGGTTTTTTTTATATATATCACAAATATAATGTAAATAAAAAACCATATTGGGCCCGAACATATTTATTAACTACAACGCATATAATTGCAGCAGTGTTGGGCGTCCCCCTGCCCGTTGGACAGATGACTTGCGGCGATATGCTGGGAAAGATTGGGTGCGGAAGGCGGAGGATCTTTCATTGTGGCGGACTATGGGAGAGGTCTACATCCAGCAGTGGAGAAATAAAGGTTGATAATGACGCATATAATCGTATACAATTCAGGGTACGTTGTTATGTAGTACCAAACTGAGAGAATCATTCAGAAAATCATTGGCTTACATGGTAGACACTATTCCACACCATAAATATATTCCTTTCGGAATCGAACAGTCTAGTCTAATATTTAAAGACCAAACAAGGATACAAATCGTTTTAAATTGCAAATCTTTATGCAACTACATCTTCAAATTCAAATACTAAACCTTTTTTTTTTTTATGATTGAAAGTTTTCTGGTGGCCCGAAGGCCTTTCCAGTTTCACCAGGACAGGTGGGCGAGCAAAGGCTCAGCCAAGAGGGGCGGGATTTGCTAACAACTGCCCGAGCGCCTCCGAAGGAGACCTAACAACTCAAGAGCAATTGTTTCGCGAATGAATCTACTACTGGATCGGAATCGCGACCCGCTGAGAAGATCCGGCGAGAAACTCAGCGGGCTGATGCATGGGTTAGGTTGCACGTCGACCTCTTTGTCGAGTTCGACGAGTATGGTTACCGGGGTCCCTAAGCCTGCCCCTAGTATTAGAGCTGAAGGCATCTAATGCAACGGTTATTGGATCTGATGGATCCGTAAGGACGTGTCTAGGGCGTCGACGGTGACTGGCTCCTGCATGATCAGGATTCGGGGAGTAGTCAGCGGCGGCAACGATAAGGCGATTATCATGACGCATAGCCTTATCGAAGTATCGTNCGAGGCTATAGACAAACGGCCACGTATTGGACCTTCGTCCAAATCTATTAACGAGGACGATGAGGACGAGGACACTGAGGAGACGTCCTCCTCCCATGAAACGTCCGACTCAGAATCCGAGACCGATTCAACCAAATCCTCTCATTCTTCCTCATCGAGGGCGAAGTCCCTTACACCCCCCAAACCAACTCCCAAGCCGAGGAAGCGTACAGGGACGGCGGAAGTCTATGCAGCCAAACAGCTGCGTACGCCTCCTCGGTCTCCTTCTCCTACCATCTCCCCCATCCTGACGGACAGGCCCAGGGGTGCCCCCACCACAGGCTGCACGGTGGGCAACCTGGAGTCAACCAGGTACATGGACCTAGAGCCAACAGTCTCCAACCCTCAACCCAACTCCATCCCCAATCCCTCCCCAGTGCCCTCGACTTCATACGCAACCATTGCAGCAACGCGACCGGCGCCTACACTGCGCCCACAATTGAATGCCTCTGCTTCAACAAAACCGCGCGCCGGGGNTGCTGGCCCTGCTGGACGAAGGCTCCACTGTAACTCTCCTGGACTCGAGCGTGGCGAAGCAGATCGGCCTGAAGGGACCCAAGGAGACGCTCCGCCTCGAGACCGTGGGCGGGAAGACCCTAACGAAGAAGGACTCGATGAAGCTTAACATCAGAGTTCGAGGGCTTCACCAGCGGCAGAAGAGAATGATCTTCGGAGCGCGCACAATGGATGACATGAGCCTTGCACCCCAGCGACTGAAAAGAGAGACCATCGAAGGCTACGCACACCTGAAGAGCCTGGCGGACCAGTTATGTTACAATGAACAATCCCCCCAACTATTGATCGGGCAGGACAACTGGGGACTCATCGCCGCCAAGAAGACGCGCAGAGGCAGGAGGAACCAGCCGGTAGCCTCATTCACCCAATTGGGATGGGTGCTACATGGCCTCGATGGCAACAACGCGAAAGAGGTCAACTTCCTCACCTGCGCCCATGTATCGATGCCCGAAGAGGCCTTGGACAGATTAGTGAAGGAGCACTTCGCGATAGAGTCGCACCCAAGCGTCCGGGCACGGATATGGAGGCAAAGGCGCTCGACATCTTGGAGAAGGAGGACGACAGAGGTTGGAGACGCGATGACGGCCGCTTCGAAGCTCGGACCTACAATCCCTGTTCGAAGCGTTGTTGCAGTTCCGGAAAAGGCTCGTCGTGGTTGTCGCGGACATCAAGGAGAGGTTCCTGCAGATAAGGATCAGGGACGTGGACCGCGACAGCCCAAGATTTCTCTATAGAGAAGATCGACGCGAGGCCGCTCCAAAAGAGTATAGAATGACGTCGGTCATATTCGGAGCGGCCTGTTCACCGAGCGCGGCCCTGTTCATTAGAAATAAGAATGCCAAGGATTACAGACATCGATATCCAGAAGCCGCGTGGGCAATAGAAGGCGCTGCATTCTGGCGAGCCTCGCAGGCGGTGTGACCCCAGGAGACATAGAGCTGGGGTCGAAGGAAGAAAAGACCCTGGGCCTGCGGTGGTTCTACGAGTCGGACGAGGTGGGATTCCGGACACGTCCACGAGACCCAAAGGATATAGAAGCACGGACCCCGACCAAACGAGAAGTAACTAGCGCGGTAATGTCAACCTTCGACCCTATGGGGCTGGCATCACCCGTGCTAATAGAAGGGAAAGCGCTCACTCAGAGCATTTGGCGGAGCGAGATCGACTGGGACGACGTCATCCTGGAAAAGGACGAGGTGGCGTGGAAACGCTACATGGAGAACCTCCGCACGTTGCAAGGCCTCCGAATAGCAAGGTGCTTCTCGTGCTGCAACACTGAGGGGGAGCTGCACACGTTCACCGACGCCAGCGAGAAGGCCTACGCGTGTGCAGTCTATTGGCGTCAGAAGACAGATGAGAGCACCTACCGCGTCACGCTTCTAGCAGGGAAAGCCAGGGTGACCCCACTGAGACCAGTCTCTATCCCAAGGCTGGAGCTGCAAGCTGCACTGCTGGGGACAAGGATGGCGCAGGCGATAGCGAACGAATTGGACATCGCGGTCGGCAGAAGGACGTACTGGACTGACTCCAGTACAGTCCTGACATGGATAAAGACCGACCCACGCACGTTCAAACCTTTCGTTGCGCACCGACTCGCCGAGATAGAAGAGTCAACGAAGCCCCAAGAATGGCGATGGGTGCCTGGCTCGCAGAACCCAGCAGACGACGCAACTAGAGAGGCGCCGGCGGATTTCGACCACACGCATCGGTGGTTTAATGGACCCGAGTTCCTGTCGTGGGATGAATCGCGCTGGCCCAAGCCGCGAACATTCAAGCAAGAACCGTCTGGAGAAGAGAAAGAGGCCTTCCTGGTCGCCACGGCGAGGACCGCTGACGCTCGACCCACGCCCGATCCGCACAGATTCTCGAGCTGGGTCAAGTTATTGAGAGCAACAGCCAGGGTCCTCCAATTTATCGAGCTGTGTCGACCCCGGAAGGAGAGCGCCTGCGTGTCCAGACAATTGGAGCAGCAAGATCCCACGTGGAGGACGACGCGAGCGAAGCAGCCCCGATCAACATGGAAGATAAGGACTCCAGAAGCACCTACAGAAGCGTGGCTGCCGCTCGATCCGCCCCACTTGAAGAAGGCGGAGAAGATCCTACTGAGAAGCAGCCAAGGAGAGAGCTTCGGTGAAAAAGATCCCGAACGTCACCCCAAGTTGCGACGGCTCGACGTCGTGATGGAAGATGGCCTGTTGCGCCTGCGCGGACGTATCGACGCAGCGCAATACATAGATGCAGGCTGCAAGCGACCGATCGTGCTGGACGGGAAGCACGTGATAGCGAGATTATTGATCAAACACTATCACGAGGCGTTCCAGCACGGTAACCACGCAACGGTGATGAACGAGGTGCGGCAGCGCTACTGGATCCTAGGTCTAAGATCGATCATTCGAGCGACGGCCGTCCGATGCCAGTGGTGCAAGGTCTATCGGAGTACACCACGACTACCGCCCACCGGAGACCTGCCGATAGAGCGGCTACGACATGGAGAGCCGCCGTTCACCTGTGCTGCCGTCGATTACTTCGGGCCGATGACGGTGACTGTAGGACGACGTCACGAGAAGAGGTGGGGCGTGCTGTTCACATGCCTCACCACGAGAGCAGTCCACATGGAGCTAGCAGCGTCACTGACGGCAGACTCAATGCTGTTAGCGCTGCGCAGGATGGCCGCCCGGCGAGGAACGCCCAAAGTCATTTACAGCGACAATGGGACTAACTTCGTCGGCGCCAACAAGGAGCTTAAGCAGGCAATCGAGAATGCAAGGGAAGCAGACGTCGTGTCACGGGCCGCTCAGATGAACATAAAATGGAAGTTCATCCCGCCAGGAGCGCCGAACATGGGAGGCGCGTGGGAACGTTTGGTGCGGTCCGTGAAGACCGCGCTGGCGGTCACACTGAAGGAAAGACACCCGAGGGAAGAAGTTCTGCACACTCTTCTGTTGGAGGCGGAGCACGTCGTCAACTCGCGACCGCTCGTCGCCAGGGAAGAGAGTTGGGAGTCAGAAGCACTCACGCCGAATCACTTCCTCATAGGGAGGTCCTGCGGAGCTCCAAGCATCGGCGACTACAGAGACGAAGACCTGACCGGCAAAAGGACATGGAGAGTGGCGCAGCGTATGGCGGACCACTTCTGGAGTAGGTGGGTCAAGGAATACCTGCCTACGCTGCTGCCCAGGAAGATCGACGGGAGAGCAGCTGGCGAGGACTTGCAGTGTGGGGATACCGTCCTCATAGTGGACTCCACGCTGCCACGCAACACATGGCCGCGCGGGCAAGTTGTCCACACCTACCCAGGCCCCGACAACCGTGTACGAACCGTCGACGTCAGAACGAGCGGCGGTCTGCTTAAGAGACCTGCCTCCAAGATGATCCTGCTGGTGCCTGCAACGAGCGACGAGCCCACGCCCATAGAGTCGCCACGACAAGGAGTCGGTGCTACGCACGAGGGGGAGGATGTTGGCGACAGCGGCGTCGCCCCATAATTATAGAATAAGTTGAAGAATATAATAGAATATAGAATAGAATAATAGATTTATATAGATACGTACATAGACATAGAGTTATAACAAATAGATAAATAACAAATAGATAAATTATATAGAGTGCATATAGATAGATAAGGATATAGATAACGTGCACATAGATTTTACTAAGAATAGAACGTAAGTTGCTTTGAAATAAATAGTATACACTTTTGCTTTATTATTCCCGATAGTTTTAAGATTAGCATATTAACTTAAATGAACACGCGCCCGGCCCGCGTCCCGAAACGATGTAACAAACAGCATTTATCTGTGTTCAGGACCGGGTATTTTGTTTATACGGGCGCGTCATATAGATTAAGCATAGAATAAGTTATATGTATCGATAGGGATTACAACATAGAATAGTTAAGTATAAGGCATTAGTATATACATTTATTAAATAAATAGATATAACGAATAAACCGAGCCGATCATAGTGAAAATGATCTCGACGAGAGCCGTATTTTACACGAGATCTCTGTAGGGTAACATTCCGAGGTAGTTAAGCGACCCTGCCGACTTGCCGACCGACTACCTGCCGACCTACCGACCGACCCTCGACCGACTACCTGCCAACCGCCGGCCGCCGACCCTCCGAACGAAGATTACAAAAAAACGCACGAGTAAAGACATCTGCGCCTCGAAGATATTTATTGAAGAATTGAAGAATTGAAGACTATTGAACAGATCGTCGGTTATTGAACATAGAAGAAATTCGGTTGTATTGACAGATCGGTCGGCTCGGTTTTACGTTCAGTAGCAAAGTTTTGAGTTTTAATTTCGAGTGAGCTTGTACGATATCGTACACCTCAGGACCCTACATTGACTGCTTCAGATCGACACGAATAATCGCCACGAGACGGGCATCCGGCGTCTTATAGGATTTCAAGAAATCTTATAAGATTAATAAACCCGTCCAACCCGGGTTGACGTCACTCGCCTTATCGACACGGGTGACGTGCTGCGTACCCAACAGTAACAAAAAATGGACGTTTTGCAAATTAGCTGTTCAGCATATCGCATGTTTCACTCGTGGGATTATTAAAATATTTACCGGAATTAGGTAAATCAGCCGTCGCAACACAAACAAAATCAACAGAATTATTCATAACGAACGCAGAAAAAATATCTTCTTGTTCAAAAGAATTATCTTACATATTAAAAGACCGAACATAATGATGCCTTGTTAGAACGAGGCTTAAGTGGTTCGAAAAGGAAAGATTCAACATTTTTTTCGTCTGTAAATCAATCTTTTATACATTTTCAATACCTTTCCAATGCTTTTTGTACAATATTTTCAGAAACGATTCTATTATAGCCCCTTTACATAGAGCTATGACATATAAGATAACAAGTTAGTTGTTTTCTATTTTAATTTTCTAAAATTATTATTCATAGGTAAACGAATCAACGATATTTAAAAAAAAATTTCATCATTAATAAAAACTTCAGGTCTATTGCTTACCGTGAGATCTCTTAACTAGGTTTAATTTCGTAAATTCAGACTGCAAAACGGTTTTAAACGATTACCTCAACATAATAGAATATAATGCTCATTTACTAAACTAAGCAAAAATAGAAA